CCGCCCGAGGAAGCCATCCACGATCCACCTATGACAATATGATTATGCTAATCACCACCAAGGACATTTCGGAAGGATTAAAGCATTACTGGGCGTTGAGATGATAATCCTTGTAGAAAACAGAAAAAAGTTCTAAATTGCTAGCAGGTTGAATTAGGAAATGTATCATTAATCATAAAAATAAGAAAAAAAAATCCCTTAACGCTTGAACAATAAACGATATTATGAATTAACCGGTACTTCTGGGTTCCGAGGAAGTTCCACTACAGCCTCGTAGCAGCGCTTCTTCACTTACCGAAATGGCTGCCAGTGATTTCCTCTGTTGAATATTGGTTTTTTTGAACAATTATGATATTCCAGGCGTTTGAAAACCTAAAACGAATATCACTTTGGATGAACAGAAGCGATGAGACAGCAACTGTCTCAGACGATGTACCATCATCAAGCAGTGCTTGCAACGAGGGGACCCAATCAGGAAGAGCTGTTGCGCAAAAATCTAGGGAAAATTCTAGAAGGCTGAAATTGCGGCGTCTGATTGAAAGAAATAACGACGCGGAAACTCTTGAATCGGTTAATATTTTTTTCAACTAATTTTAAAGTTTATTACGTGAGACGTGTAGGCTTTTCTGAGCATTGGTTTTGTTCTGCATAGATAGCTATTTCTTTTGTTTATCATATTTGTTAGGTGATCATAGGCAGATCCAAGGGGAGGGGGAGGTCGATGGGTCTTTCGTCCCCCTCCCCCAACAGTACAGGCACCAAGTGCTACAAAAATCCAGGTTTAAAGCTAAAACTGAAGAAAACTCTCTTCCGCACTCTTCTCTCTCATCCTCCTCCCTCCCCCTTCGCCACCATATCAGTAGACTCATTCTCCTTCCGCCCTCCCTCCCCCTCCGTAGGAATTTGTCCTGGATCCGCTTATGTAAGTGATAGTGATGGGGAAGAACGACTGCTGAAGGAAACAGAAAAAAGGGGAAGTGAAAGTTGTAAAAAAGCCAAAATTGGAAATATAGAATCCTTCCCATATCTACCGCATATGAGAAATAAAGGCAGTCATAAAGTAGTCTGAGCTGCTCTTAGCATCCATCCGCTGGCAAGAGTACCGAAAGTTGCCTAGAATCAGATTAATGGTGAGTTGGTTCACATGTTTATACCAATACCAATTTGCCATTGAATCGAATGGACCAGTCGTAGAGACTGGTTTTTCCGCTAAGGCAGTCGAACCTTCGACATCGAGCACGA